CTCAGACCTAACCCACATGTATGACAGTGGGTACTATAACCTGGCCTGGTCTGGGCTGCTCCCAGCCTTGGTTCTTGTGCTCACCCGAAGGGACTGCATCCTGACAAAGGAGTTACCTAAGCTCCTATATCAGGTCTCCTTCCAGTAGCAGGTCTCAGGCCCATCTGTGTGTCCTTGGCCCAGACTAACTTTGTCCACCTCTTGTTCTGGAAAGAAGAATGGCCTTGCCTGACCAGCCCATGTCCATTCCAGTTCTTACTGTTGTTACAGCCCAGCCACACCTGATTCACACACTCCCGGACACAGCCCTCATGTGGTGAAGTGGGGGCAGACACAGCCCAGCCTGTCCTACAGCCACCCTGGCTCTCATAGCACCAATGGGTGCTAGAGTCTAGCATCATCTGGCACATCCCAGATCCAGTCTACACCCATGTCCAGATCATCACCCCCATTTCAGCTCTCAACATTCACTAGTGGGAACCACAGTCAAGCCAAGATGTGTCCTTATCTCCCCCAACCAGGTGCATTTCCAGCCATGTGCCAGTGGTTGCTCTGACTCAGTTCAGCATCGCCCATCCTCTCCCAGCCCGCCCCCAGTTTTAACTCTCATTGACAGGTGCCTATCTCTGCCCAGTCTGCTCCCATCCCTGACTCATGCAAATCAATCAGTGTGAAAGCCTAGCCAGCATGACCCATACTTAAGCCTAGCTCCTGCACCTGCCAGCAGGCTAAGGTTGGCCCAACCCTGCCCAGTTTGCCCCTCTCCAGGGTCACTCCACATACTTGCCAATGGGTGAAATTATCTTTCCAGGCCTGACCAACACCCAGGCCTGAACCACATACCCACCAGCAGGAACTATGGCCCACCAGGAGAGCTTCCCGACTTCCCCCACTAGGCCCACTCCCAGACATAGATCTCACATGTTTCAGTGGGTGCTAGCCTTTAAGTGGCATAGTCTGCCCACTCTGTTCCAGTCTTTGTGTTGCAGCCCAGCCCACTCCATAGCCTAATCTTGGGTGTGCCTATGAGTGTTATAGCCTGAACCTCCCCTGCCTGTTCCCCACCCCAGTATCCATCGAAGGGTTCCATGGTCATGCCTGGTTCAGCCTGTCACCACTCCTTGCTGTTAAGTTAACCAGTGGAAATTGCAGTTCCACAGGGATGAGCCCAAGTATTCTCCACAGAATCTGCCGCTGACCTGGTTCTCTCACGTGCTGGTTAGTATCATGGCACAGCCTAACATGACCCATCTCCTGTTCTGACACTCACTGGCAGGTACTGTGATCCAGACCTGCCAGGCAGGCCTTCAGCCTTAGCTTTAGTGCGCACCTGTGAGTGGTGGTCATCTATTGTCCAATGCTAACTAGCCCAGCTCAGGTCTTCCACACGGGCTGGTGCATTGGTTTGACCCATAAAGGTCCTCCAGCCTCTCCCCTCCAAGCCACCCAGTCTCAGCCCCTTCGCTTACCTGGAAATATAGTGGCCTTATCATTGGGAGTCACTTACAAGTCATTCATCGCCTGCAACACATTCCATCTCCCACATTCCCCTTCCCCTTTTCCTGATTAATCAACAGTCCCTGCACCTAGGAGCACATGGGTTGCCCAGCCCAGCCTTCTGGCTCCTGGCACATGTGCTGGCCTGGGACTATGCCCCTCTACACACCCATGATCCAGGCCCATTCAAAGCTCCCCAAGCCTGGTCCACCAGCACACTAGGCCAGCATGCAAATCTGGGGCTCTCCCCACCTCTCCCCCTAGACCAAACACCTGAGGTCATCCCAAGGCATGCTCTGTCTGCCTGGATGTGAGGCCCCCAGGTCTGGCAGGCCCCTACCAGCGCTATCCTCCTGGCCCCGGAAGGTGGCATCCCTGGGCCCCGCGGACTGTCCACCACCAGCCGCAGTCAGACCGGCAATCAACATCATTCTTTTAAAGATTAGTAGTCTAACCTTTGCATGATCTATTTAATCAGTTTACAAGAACATTTTCATATGACTGTGGAAAAAAAAATTGCACTGAAGTTAAATTCCAAGCATTGTTCACCTTTTAATAGCTAATTAATAATTAACCTAAATACCACCCTTTGGTATATTGCAGAAATTTAAGGTAAAGTACATTTTGTAGAACAAAATAACAGGCTTAAAATGTCAATTTGTAAATTAAGCAGAAGGAATATAAGAAAATGTAGGCAAAAAGTTAAATTACCCAAAAATAGAGTACAAAGGAAATTGTTATCATAGATGAGGTATAATTCCCTAAATTGAGATTTCAGTGCTTCAGATTGCCATCAAGTTGTTAGCAATTTAAGTTATTTCGCATCCCAGCATAGTGTCTGGCAAGCCAGTGCCTTTGTAGCATTGAGTATCTCTCACAAGATGCAGTCATAGTGAGACAGGCTTCACATGGCAGTCTGAAAGCACTGGTATGGAATGCCTGAGTTCCTGGATTCCACCATATTCCACTCACATAAATCACGATCATTAACCTGGCAGAGGAAGATTACCTGGTGGTCCAGGACACCTCAGTCCTCCACATCTATGAGTCTCTTTAGAAAGCCACTATGAACCAATGCTTTCTCTCCCAAGAGCCCAACCCAATGTAATCACTTTCAAGGTCCAATCTTCAAACACCACTAACAGATTAAATTCTTCCTTTAATCCACTAAGGTGAGGCTCAGGGAAGGTCATCCAAATTATCTACAATACACTATTTTTTGTATATCCATTTGTAACCTGTGATTTCAAAGAATTGCTTCATCAGTTCTAACATCTTTTGGATAGTTTCGGTTTATGTAAAACAAAAATCTTATCCACAGACATGGATATTTTTATTTCCTTTTCCAGTTTTGATCCCCTTTACCCCTTTCTCTTTCCTAACTGCTATTAATACTTCCTATGTTAAATAAGAGACATGAAAGTGGACTTCCTTGTCGTATTTCAGATCCGACCATTTGGTGTATCGTATTGATTTGTCATAGAAGCCTTTATAATTTTGAGGTGTTTCTTCTAATTCCTGAGGGGTTTTGTTTTTGTTTTAATCATGAAAGGATGTTGAATCACCAAATGTTTTTTCTGTATTTACCAAGATGATCATGTGGTTTTTATTCATTCTGTTGATGTAGCTTATGACATTTTTTGATTTACAAATGAGCTATCCTTACATTGCAGGGATAAAATCCACTTGATTGTGATGTATGACCTTTCTGATAAAGTACTAGATTCAGTATGTCAACATGTTGTTGTGAGTTTTTGCATCTGTGTTCATCAAGAATATTGGCTATCCAAATCATAATAAAAAGCTCTGGGAAAAGGGAGTCATTACTAAAGAAACTGGGACTTACAACTTCTCTGGGGCAGAATGGGGAGGCAGGCAGGGCACAATGATGAATGAAGCTTACCTTGCTATGCAAGTACTCTTAGGTAACACATTTCAATACAGATGCTTTTACTAATACTGATTTTTTTTTACTTGTAAAATTTTTTTTTTTTACAATAAGGTAGTTTTTCAGAGCTATTCCAGTATTTACAATTTCTCAGAATAATCACATAAAACTACAAAGAAATAATTTTGGGGTATCATATTCTGGTATATAGTTATAACTTAGGGTAGTATAGTGAGCCCCAACATACTCAACTCTCATTCCTGTTGGATATTTCATTTGCTGGTTCACTGCTCAAATAGCCACAAGCAGCGAGATCTGGGCCATGAGGAAGCCAGAAGCAAGTAGATGATCACTTGATAAATTTCCTGAGGAAGTTGTAGTTTTTAGGAGTTAGTAATTTATTGCAAAGCTGGCACTAGATTTTAAATAAAGAACTTACAAATCAGTTGAAAAGTTGCCAAGGGAGGAGGAGGAATCAAGAGAGAACAGAGCAATTAATCATTTTAAAATATTTTATCAGGTTTCAGCTGATAAAATAAAATATTCCTGTAATTCTGAATTTATTTATCCATTTATTCATTGATACTAAGTGACTCAGAACCAGAGCAATAGGCTTTTATGCTCTCACCAAGGATCCACAAAGCAAAAAGGTGCAAATATGCAATGCCCTCAAGATCCAGCACCATCCCTAGTCAAAATACAATCCTGAGACCCAGAGACATGTATGTGCCCAGCCTTTTGATTGACCATCTGATACAGGCTGACACCTGCGCCCCCAGCTGGCAGAGACCAGAACCAACATTTCCATTGGTCCCAAAGCTAGTCTTACAAGTCAAACCAAGATGAAAGCAGAATCTTATCTGGCTTTTCTTTGTTGGTGGCCCCCAGTAAAATTCATGTATACAGATGCTAGTCTGGTTTGCACTGTGAGCTGTGAGACTTGCTCAAACACACACTTACATGACCTACATCTGTATTTTGTCCTATGCTTCTCCTTTTAACCTATTAAGACCCAAGTTTTCAATTCTGTAAGTATGCCAATCAAAACTGACACAGTGGCTTAAAAATACAAGTGGGAAACAATAGTCTAGAGCTTGCATAAATTTTATTAATAAAAATGGAAACACATGTTCTATAAATAGAAACTGGGAATACAGAGTTATCTTTTACATAGGTAAGCCATAATATACAAAGAAATGACTTTCGTGACCTATTAAACAACTATTTTTCATAGAAAAAAATAAAAACAAGAGCAATGGCAGCCAGTTAGCAGAGGCAATGCATGGCACAAATGCATGGAAACCTCAAAGAAAGGCAATTCAGAGCAGTGGCTTCCAGCACGAATTCAACAAGGGATAATGTGTCATTAGGGAAAGTGACAACACAACAGAAAGCTGTCTCAGGCTCCCGTAAGGGGGAGATTGTAGAAGGTAGATATACAGGGAAGAACAGGTCTGCAGAACTTTTGGGAGCCACGGCTGAGCTGGAGAACTTCTCCCTGTTGAGAGAGAGGAGTATATAGTGTGTGTGTGTGTGTGTGTGTGGCGGAGGGAGGTGGGGAAGAATACATTCACAAATCTATGTCCTGCTTTAGGCGAACCAGGGGAAGGCAGCAAACTTTTCTGATTTGCTTTCTTCTTCACTTCAAATATATTTATGACAAAGTGGTTCGTTCCAGGGTGATACATTTTGGTTACCTGCATACCACAGAAAAATATCACGAAACCCCCAGATCATAGGCAGACAACAGATGAGCAGATAAGAATTCTTTTTGAAAAGAAATACATGATAGGAAAACACCAAACTGCATTGTTTACTTATCCAGTATAAACCATTGCAGTAAAAGCTTTCCGAACATTAGCAAGAAAAGCTGAAAAATTGTTGGTCTTCCTCACGTTCTCCTGAAACTCGGCGAGGCACTCAAGATGAGGTACACTATCTGACACTGGAAGAGAAAAAACGGAAACAATCTGAAGGAGGTTCTTTTGTTCTGGAGGATCACACCAGATTTCAATATCAATTCTATTTTAATGAAATGCACAAAGAAGAATATGATATACTTAATTTTCAAATGCTCACTATATTCCAGACCTTTCCTTTAACCTCTAAGAAGTCATATCATAAATAGTACAATCTTGCTTCACATTGAAACAGATGGCACTAGGGTCGGAAGAACCAAGTAAAGCACAATGCCACTTCCCAATATCCTCAGACACTTGGCTTTAAATACCGAACCTCTTTCAGTACTGACAAGTCATTTTCTTCAGCAAAAATTTTACTTCAGTGACTTCCAGTTTCTAGCTACCAGACTGAAAAAAGAACTTGCAATGTCAAGCCACAATAACTTCCCATTATGGGGGGGAAAAAATCTAAAGTTTTCACAGGAAAGGGAGTCATTAAAAATGTGTTAGTGGAGGACAGCACTGAGGTCACACACCTGCCTGTTACATAGCATCACACATGGGTGCTGGCTCCTTTGCTGACTACTGCACATTCCAGCTGGGAAAGCAGCGAAAGATGACCCAAGTAACTGGGCCTCTGAAACCATATGGGAGAGTCCGATGAAGTTCCAGGCTTTGGCCTGGTTCAGTCCTGACCACTGCAGCTATTTGGGGAGTGAGCCAGTTCAGACTCTGTCTCTCCCTCTCTTTATGACCAAACTAAAAGAGGTGGTGGCAGGGCAGGTGTTTCATCTGATGGCTAGGCTGATTGGGGCACCTGCCTCTGATCTGGGAGTGCCTAGCTTAGTAACAGTTTTGCTCTTGATTCCAGCTTCCTGCTGAGAAGCAAGCAGCAGGAGCAGCCAAGTTCCTGCCATCCACGTGGGAAACCTGGACTGAATTCCTATCAAATGTGGTGGTCACAGGCATTTGGAGAATGAATGTGGTTTTGTTTTTCAATCAAATTAAAATAAATGAATAAAATATTATGGAAAAAAAAAAAAAAAAACGGTTGCTATCGCTGGAGTGCTACATGCAGAACTTACCAACCAACTGAAAAAATTAGAGAAAACCAAAAGGGAGGTAACAAGTGCTCTAAATTGTGGTTAGCACTTGGGGGTCAGCACTGTGGCAAAGCAGGAAGTCACTGTCTACATCACCAGGATCCCATGTGGGTACCAGTTCAAGTTCTGGCTGCTCTATTTCCAGTCCAGTTCCCTGCTCATGTGCCTGGGGAAGCAGTGAAGAATGGCCCAAGTCCTCACAAATGGAACACTCAGAAAAAGCTCCTGGCTTCCGGCTTTGGACCCAGCCTAATCTCAACCATTATAGTCATTTGGGGAGTAAAGTAGCAGATAGAAGATCTCTTTGACTCTCTCTCTCTCTCTCTTACTTTGCTTTTCAAACAAATAAAATAAATGTGTCAAAAATAAAATCTAGGGCCTGGTACAATGGCTCAGCTGGCTCATTCTCCCCCTTCCAGCACCAGGATCCCAAATGGGCACCGACTCATGTCCCAGCTGCTCCACTCTCCATCCAGCTCCTGGAAAAGCAGCACAAGACGGCCCAAACCATGGGACCCTGAACCCACATGAGACCCAGAAAAGGCTCATGGCTCCTGGCTTCAGATCAGCTCACCTCCAGCTGTTGTTGCCACTTATCACAGTGGATGAAAAATCTTTTCATCTGTGTCTCCTTTTCTCTGTAAATGTGCCTTTCCAACAAGAGAAAAAAACTAAACATCTGAATATGAATTGATTACCAAAATCTAAATTAAGAACAGGAATGGAATCAACAGGACACAAATCAGCAATTGACCCAAGAATCTGTTAAGCTAAAAATGCTGTAATATGAAAGCACAAATGTAATGTCCTGTGAATAATTTAATGAATTCCAATCAATCAAGCATTACATAAGGATATTGGAAGAATAAAATTAACCAACATCATTAATATGTGGCATTTTTCAGGGTGAGAATTTCTTAATCATTCAAGGTTAAAATAAATTGCAATATCCTCATTTTGCATTTGAATTTTAAATAAAATTAAAATATGTGGCATTTTCAGGATGTGAGCCTTTAATTATTCTAGGTTAAAATAAATTGTAATATCCTGATGATTTTGCATTTGAGTTTTAAATTATCTGCTTAGGTGAGTTCTAATACACACATTAGGAGGCTGGAGTCTTTTCCAGGTCTGAGAAAGTCTTTGGTACTCTGATTACGATTACATTAAAGATATAATTTGCTTTAGACATTTTGAAGATACTAATTCTAATTCATGAACATGAAAGATTTTCCCATTTATCTGTGTCTTCTATTTCTTTCCTTAATGTTTTATAATTTTCAGAGACCTTCCACATCCTTACTTAAATTTACCCCTAAGCATTTACATTTTTTTGGTAGCCATTGTGAATGGGACTGATCATACAACCTCATTTTCAGCCGTGGCATCATTGTGTGCATACACCAACTACTAATTTTCAAATGTTGATTTTATATCCTGGAATTTTACCAAACTCTTAGATGTTCCAATAATCTCTTTGCAGAGCCTTTTGGTTCCCCTATGTGTAACATCACGTCATTTACAAACAAGGGGAATTTGACTTCTGTTCTCATCTGTATCCCTTTGATCTCTTTTTTATCTAGTGGCTCTGGTAAAAATTCCAAAAATGTTGAATAGTAATACCATGCGTGAGAATCACTGACTGGTTCCAGATCTAAGGGGAAACACTTCCAGTTTTCCCCCTTCAATCTGATGCCAGCTGTGGGTTTGTCAAATATTGCCTTGATTATGTTGAAACAAACCACATCCTTTATAAAAGTTTTAGCTTTCATTTACTTTTTTTTTTTTTTTTAATTTGAAAGGCACAGATACAAAGGGGTAGCTTAGACTGACTGGCTGGTTTACTTCCCAAATGCCCCCAATGGCTGGTTCTGAGCCACACCAAATCCCGAAGCCAGGAATTCAATCCATGTCTCCTGCATGGCTGGCAGGAACTACATGATCTAAATCACCAGTATTGCCTCGCAGCATCTGCATTAGCAGAAATTTGCACTCAGGATTCTAGTTTGAGTGTCAAACTCAACATTGTAACAAGCAATTAGTTTCTTTTTTGCTTTGTTTTGTTTCAAATGCAAACTCCAGTCTATTTATTTTCTTTCAGATTTATTCATACTTATTTTTATTAGAACAACAGATACACAGAGAGGAGAAATGGAGAGGAAGATAATCCGTCTGATGATTCACTCCCCAAGTGACCGCACTCAGGTTGGACCTGAGCAAATCAAAAGCCAGGAGCCAAGAGTTTTTTCTGGGTCTCCCATGGGGGTGCAGGGTCCCAAGGCTTTTGGGCCATCTTGGACTGCTTTCCCAGGCCACTGGATGGGTAGCGGGTCTGCCAGAATTTGAAACAGTGCCCATATTGAGATCCCAGCATGTGCAAGGTGAGGACTTAAGCCACTAAGCTACTGTACAGGGCCCTCCTATTTATTAAGTGCCCACAGAGTGCCAGGCCTTGTAAAACACTGTTCATTCTCTGAGTGAAATTGTCCTTTTGCATTCATTTTGAATTAAGCTGACACTTAAGCTGCAGTGTCACAAAAATCACATCTTTTAAGATTTGCTCAAAAAACGAGTTTCTAAACTACAGTAGTAGCAGACCATGCACAAGCCAACTGCTAAAGCCTATCTGCCATTGCATCTGACATATTCTCCTCAGAAGCCTCTCCCTTCACCTCCTCTTCTACCTTAAAGCCCCACCTTTGCCAACACTACCCCTGCCTCCTGCTCCACCACCTGCCACCTCCTCCCTTCTCTCCTGCAGGGGGGAGTAAAACCTCTGCAGTGGCAGATTATGAGTTTCTCTTTCTGTAAATCTGCCTTTCCAATAAAAATAAACCAATCTCAAGAAATTGTTATTAAAAGTCTGAATTATTTCATCTGCATTTTCAATTTTGTTCTTTGTTTTCTAAACAAATAAGAGCACTGAAATAAGTACCTTATTTTTATTTGTGGTACTTTTACAAACTACATCATCTTCATAAGGCTTCAGAAATGCTAATATGATAGCATATTTTGGGGGTCCTTGGTTTTGTCAATTAGTACAGTGTGTGCAAAACCCATTCCCAAATTCTCTTGTGCCACTGAAATAAGCACCCTTCCACGTTGGAAACAGCTGTTGTGCTGCTGCAGTGGTTGAACCACCTTCCCCCACTCACTCACCACCTAATAAAAGGCTCAACTCCACCTCGAAAACACACCATCCCACCTACCAGCACTACATGCACCTCTGGCTCTCCAGCATGCTAACTGACCAAGTCAAATTGCTTATGAAATGCAGTGACTGCAGCAGACATGTGGTGCAGCAGCTAAGACACTGCCTAGGACCTCTGTATCAAGTGAGTTTGAGTCTTGCTGGCCTCCCCTTCCAACTCCAGCTCCCGACTAATGCACTCTAGAAGGTAGCTGATGATAATTTAAGGAGTTGTGTTCTTGCTACCCGAGACACAGAGTGATTTCCTGGCCCCTCTTCATAGAATGGCTCAGGCCCAGCCACTCCACTGCAGCAATGTGGAGGAATAATGGATGGAAAATCCCCCTTTGTTTCTGTCTCTTCTAATGCCTTTTAAAATGCAGGGACTTTTGGTTTATACTTTCCAAGCATTTTAGCGATAGGCATTCCAGAGATGTTATTAAGGTTCCTAGATGTTATCTACAAATCAACACTATCCTCACAACCTGAGAAGACGTCACCTCAAAAGGCAAGACTGAAAAAGAAAGCAGTAGCTTACGGCCCTGTTTCCTTCAAACTATCTCATGTTCTGATTCAGTGACACTGGATCCTAACAGTAAACATCAGGTAAGAGACAGATACACACCTTCATAGTCCCTTGCTTCATTCAGACACAGGGAAAAAAAAAAAGGCTTCTCAGGATGCTTAGGGTCAATATTAGTGAAAATAAACTGCAATTTATCACCTGAAAAACAAAGTTAATTTAAGGACATTTTAGTAGCATAACTTTCAACAGAAAAAAGGTTTTCTTATCACTGTGATCAATACCTGCCTTGCTAAGTACGTAATACTTAATATCTCCAAATGTAGAAGTTACAGATTACTTTAAAAACATTTACTTTAAAATTTATCCTCGTTTGTTTGCTTGCTTGATTTATTTACTAAATTGATTTTTATTTTTGCCCTTGTGTTTTTGTGTGTGTGTGTATAAAAGGGGAGGGAGGCAGGGCACGTGTGTTTAAGAGAGAAGCCGATGGAGAGTAGCAATTTCCTGTTTTCCTTCCCAAATGCCCACAACAGCTAGGGCTGCAGCCGAGGGCCAGGAAAGTCCTCGGGGTCTCCCCGGCGGGTGGCAGGGACCTGAGCACTTGTACCACCATGTGCTTCTTGCCAGGGTGTGCATCACCAGGAAAGTGGAATCCAGAGCAAAGCTAGGACTCACACTAAGATGCTGTGATCAGGGAAACGATGGCATCCCAAGCAGCATGCCAACTGCAGCACCAAGTGGCCACCCCTAAGGTATTTTAAATATGACAACAAAGCAAAGGAAACAAATGAAAAAAAAAAAAACATAAATTGAACTTCATTAAGGTTAACAGCTCTAGTCCTTCAAAGGCTACTATCAGGACAATAAAAATAATCCACACAACTGAAAATATATGTAAACCATACATCCAATATGGGTTAAACTCACAGAACACAATTTAAAACTCCTACAATTGAACATCAAAAAAAATACCCAATTCAATGATGAATGTGAATTTGAAAGCATAATTCTCCAAATATTCACAGATGTTCAATAAAGCACAGTAAAGATACTCAACAAAATTGATCACTAGGAAAATACAAACAAAAACTGCACTGAGATGTCATTTCACACCCACGATGATGGCTACATAAAAACAACAGGAGGGGCTGGTGTGTCCACCCACTGTGGAGTGTGTTTTTAGCAGTGAGGTGTCAAATACTATTATTGTGTGAACACCATAAAAGGCATACTTACACAAACTAACAGGGCTGCCGGGTCACTAAGCATTATAATTTTGTAAGGCTACATTTGTATATGTACTGTTGGTGAAACTATCATTGGGTGGCATGTCACCATGAATACAATATTTTTCAGTCATAAAAAAATGAAGTTCTAGTATAAGCCACATAGATGAACCTTAACAATATAAACCTAAGTGAAATAAATTTGATACAAAAGAACCAATATTTTATATACAATTTCACTTGCATCAAATAAGTAATTTCTGAGATACTCAATTAAAGCAAAGTGAAGGGTTTGATTTGGGTCTTCTTGTCCTTAAGGGGAAAAAAAAATTAAAGCACTTCGAGTGCTTTCCTCATTCTTGCACTCAACCATCAACACAGGACTTCTGTAATCAGATGTGTTGAGGTGTTCCTCTATACACTAAGCAGTTAACTCTGGAAATTCTCCAATTCCATTCAATTCTAATACTTTCTACCTGGAGTTAAGTGTCAGACAAGGCAGGTGGAGGTCTCACACCTGGAAGAGTATCCTGTTGTTCCTTGAGACCACTGACCTTACGCATGCACGCACGCATGCACGGCTGGCGTGTCTTGGGGCCCTCTGACAGCCCAAGGCTTGCTGATTCACTATGGGGAATCACAGGACTCCTGTCCCAAAGCGTCATGATATTAACACACCTACCATGTATTTTTCGAATTTCCAGGCCAAGACGATCTCTGTACAAGTCGGCAGATTTCTGTAGCGTGTTCAGTCTCTCTTCATTTGCTTTGTTAGCAGTGGCGATGGCTATTATTAGAAACACATAGTATCACATACTTCAAATAACAATGACCTCTCAATGATTATTTAAGAACTTAGAGATACTATGAACATAAGGCCAAGCATTGTGAATGTTTATATATACAGGGTTTTCCTCCACTGATTAGCTTTCTATTCATTTGAAGTGGAAGAAAAAATGGATTAAGAGGGAATGGGGAGAAGAAGTCAGTTTTGTTTTACAACATTCTAACACGAACAGGCCACAGACTTGCAAAGCTATCCACCCTAGGAGCAGAACCACTCTCCTTACACTATCTTACCTGTTCTAAACAGCTACAGGCATCTACTTGCTTCATGGGGAAACTATTCTGCTTCTTTAAAGCATAACAGTTTCTCATTACAAGTAAGCCTTATTATATGTTAGCTTAGGATTTTCTTAATTATTTTTTTAATGTACTTACCTCCATTAAAGGGAGAGAAGCAGAGAGATCAACCACCTGTTAGTTCACTCATCAATGCCTTCAGTGACCAGGGTGGCCAAGGAATACTGCCAGGAGTTGAGGACTCTATCAGGGCCTCCTAACTGGGCAGCAGGGACCCAACGCCCCGAGTCCAGACCTGCGGCTTCCCAGGGTGTGCACCAGCACTAAACTGGGATCCACAATGAGCCTGGCCTTCTCAATGAAGTACTCATTTGAATATACAAGTTTTCCATAAAAATTCTTTCAGTATGATGGTGCATAACTCTCCTATGAGCAAACTTCAAAAAGTTCATGCAAAATAGAACTGAAAAAGATGTAATGCACATTTTCCATGAACTTTTGGACACATTTCACATTAAATCCTGACAGAAAATAAATGGCCGAGAGATGCTTGTTGAATAAAGACAAATCTCGTTTAGTGGCACATCTCCCACTCTGCTTGATTAAACTCCCAAATCAATTTCAGCGTTACTCTGAGGACAGCAGATACCAAGATACAGGGGATTTGAAGTAAAACAAGGGAGAAAGGAACCACACGCAGCACACTTACACTTCACTGGCACCTTACAGACAAGCGAGGCTGGCTAAACCTGAAGTACTTTTAGTCCTTTTTAGGGAGGAACTGAACAAACAAGATGCACATAACTGAACCATCTTCACTTTGAAATTTAGGATAATACTTTAAACATGTTTATAACTGAAAACGTACTTTCCTTTTTCCTAGAATATTCTTCCTTAAGATCCTGGATATTTGCTTGAAGTTCTTCTAATTTCTGTTTTTTGTCTTTCACTTCAGCAACCAATTTTAACAAGTTATCTTTTTTTTCTTGAATCAACTTATTCTGTCTGTTGATCTCTGTAAAAAGCACAAGGTATTAGCTACAGTACACTTGTCTAACTCTGTCATTTACCTAGGCATAGGTAACATTTCCATAAAATTAAATAATGATCCAAAACTATAAAAGACATAAAAATTTCTAACATATTCTTTGTCTGTCTTTGAAAACAAAAATGAGACAGAAATTTTACTATAAGAATATCAAAGACTAAAAAACCCAGAAGTTCAGCCACTTCAAGTACACAAATTAGACCTTCTACCAGACACAACTAGATTCTGGAAAATGGACTTACATGGTGCTCTGAAGAAAAAGCAAATCCCTAATCCTAATGCTATATAAAGTATTTGGATTATAACAAAAGGATAGCAGGGAAAGAAGGTGGATAGGCAACAGTCATATATTATGAAGTGAGCAGATTCTGAAAACTGAAACCCAATAAAGGTGATTCCTCTACCTACAACAACATAAAATAATTCTACCAAAAGACATAAGTGGGGGCCAACCTAGCGTGGTAAAGCTGCCACCTGCAGTGCTGGCTGGCTGCTCCACTTCTAATCGAGCTTTCTGCTAATGCACCTGGGAAAGCAGACGGCCCAGGCACCTGGGCACCTGCTACCCCTGGGGGAGTCCTTGAAGAAGCTCCTGGCTCTGCATCAGCTCAGCTCTGTTACAGAAAACATATTTTCTAAAAAGTACAAAAATACTTAGTAAAATAGTAACATAATAATCAGCTCAGAACAGACTGTGTATAGTTAAGGATATAACATCAAAGTATTGCAGAAAACCTTTAAATAAATAAGCACTTTATATATAACAAACACCCACTCTTGCTACTGATTCTTAAATCAGAAATGCAGACATTTCTTCAAAATGATAGTCACACAACAAAACCTTTCAAATGTGCTCTAATTTTCTTAAAATGAAACACTACAGGATTTGTACAAGGAATCAAACAAGGGTGTCTGCTATTTTCTCTTAAAATTTTCAACTAACCCAAGATGTAGATCCAGTAAAACTACAGAAAGGGAAAAACTAGTTGTCATTGTTTGCAAAGAAAAAAAGCCATCTATCTAGAATACTCAAAATATTGAAAATTTGTATTGTAGTACCAAAATCAATAGCTTTTATAAATAACACCCATAAACTGGTAAAATAAAAAAATAGTTGTGTCTGCTAACATTAATAACTGTAAAATCACTTTTTGCTAACCCATGCTTTTTAAAAGATTTTTATTTTTATTGGAAAGGCAAATATACAGAGAGCAGAGACAGATCTGTCCACTGGTTCATTTTCCAAATGGCCGCCATGGCTGGAGCTCAGCTGACCCAAAGCCAGGAGCCAGGAGCTTTTTCTGGGTCTCCCACATGGATGCAGGGTCCCAAAGTTTTGGGGCCGCCCTCTACTGCTCTCCCAGGCCACAAGCAGGGAACTGGATAGGGAACGGAGCCACCAGGATTAGAATTGGCACCCATATGGGATCCTGGTACATGCAAAGAGAGGATTTACGTGCTAGGCTACCGTGCCGGGCCCAAAGGCAAGTTTTTTAACCTCAATGAACCTCAACTGCCTGACTGGTAAAACAACAATTGTATCATGGACAAATTTCAGGACTTTCCCAGAGTAAATGCCTCACTTTTTAAAAAAGATTTTATTTATTTACTTATTTATCTGTTTTTATTTGAAAGCCAGTTAGAGGGGAGAGAGATGTTTCATCTACTGTTTCACTCACCACAGGGCCACAACAGCAAACGCTGGCACAGGAGGAGGCCAGGAACCTGGAACTCCTTCCAAGTCTCCCACGTACGGGGCAGGAGCTCAAAGACTTACACAGCTGAGCAACGGCCTTCCAGTCAATACGATCCGCAGCAAATCACAATTTCTGAGCCCAACACTAAAATGGGGACTAGTACCAGTAATACCCATTTTGGAGAACTGTAGAAAGGACTGAAGAAGCTGGCATCTTTAGAGTTCAACACACAGTCCTCAGCACAGAACAACTCCCGACAGTCCTTGGCTTTCTCTTTCATTGTACACATTTCTCCACAACTTCAACCCATTAAATACACTAACAATTACCCCATTGTGATCTCTGGTAGACAGACTACTTTCCCAGCTAGCTTCCAAACAGGTATACAGCCTACCAAATATTACATCCTGCAAGGCGCCAAACAGTTAAATAAATCCAGCTCCTTTAAAAACATTTTTGTCCTCTTCTAATACCTCACTAACTAAACACCCCACTGCTCATCTGCATCCCGTGTCAGAGGACATCATGCTAGGCCACACCCTCACTGTCAAGTCAACAGACAGGGGTCTTCATCCTCAGACCTGGCATAGACCCAAGCCATCTTGATGGTCTGCTTGGACACTGCACTAGCCTTCCCTTTAAACAGTCTCTTTCTCATTATCTTACTCTACTGGGCATGATATACTGCCAGAATGCTTTTGTCAACTTATGAATCCAATGCAATTTTTTGGTTAAAATCTTGTAATAACTCCTTTGAAAACAAGCCTAAACTTTGCACAACATGTCATGTCCATCTCCCGGCCAACCAGATCTTCCAGCCCCTTCTTGCTATTCCCCATCCACATCAGACTCCAGCCATCCCAGAATTCATTGTAAACTTGTGAGTTTGTCACAAGTTTTGTCACATTCCAAACTGCTGGTACCTCTTCTCAGAATGCAGAAATAAATCCAACAAACTTGCCCAATCTACCTCCATGTGTGTCCAGGGAAAAGTAGTATAATCAGTGTAGACGTTCAAAAGGTGTTTTGGTCACTATCAGCCATCTGACCTTGGACAAGCTGTATCCACTCTTTGTACCAACTGTCAGATAAACACAAATATCTATACCCAGGATTCAAGAAGTCAATACATCCCAAGAGATGTCTAGAATGCCTGCCACGGGGTGTGTGTTAGGTAGGCTTGCTATTAAATATTCTGCACCCACATGGCACCTATTCCCTTATTATAGCAACTATGAAAACGCATTTTAATTGTGGTTTCCCAGTATACACTTCACTAAATTGTGAGACGAAGCCCCACACAGGGCAGCAGTAATCAAACATTCACTGAACTCAGGCAAATTATACTTCTGTTCAAAAAAAAACATTTATAGTGCTTTCACATCTCACATCACTTGGAGCATAAGTTCGCAGGACAGGCAATCTTTGAGAGAGCATTTTGACATTAAAAAAAATGTCAGTTTCACAGTGATTTACCTAATCCCTAATAATTCTACAAACCAAACTCAAACTCAGTTATTCTCACATTAAGGCAAGCAAGAGGTTTTCCTTTTTTGCTTACAGTTACAGAAGGAATGAAAGAAGCAGTGAAAAGACATGAAACCTTCCAGTTTACAAAGTAAACACGTGTACCAAGTCTAGCAAAATAACATACCCAGGCTAAGAAAGCCGTGCCTTCCTGGGCCACAGAATGGGTAATGCGGGCAGGACAGAAAGGGGATTTTCAGTAACAACAGCAAAAGTAGAGGAAGAATCGGAGGACCGACCAAACCCAAAGAGCCGAGAAACACCAACTTGCCCATCCCCAGGCTATGACTTCCAATGTGAAAACAAACACGCATTTAAAAAAAAAAATACTGACACATCTCATAGATATAATGCTGAATGAAAAACAAAGAAGGAACACAAACAAAATCAAATGATTTAAGAGTCAAGAACAATGCTAAACAGAATTATGACCAGGTTAGTTACAGAAGGTGGGGGAAGAGGAGAACCTGAGTGGTGCCATTCCCTCAGCTGGCTGGTACATAAAGATGATGCTGCACAGACGAACGTGCGTATGCACAGTGTGCGTACAACTCAAGCTGCACTGCTGCACCCGTATGAGTGATCTCATGATAAACATGCCCAATCCAAAAGAGAACTCGGTGAGCTGCCATTTTTCACGTACGGTTTTTATATTCCAGGCACATCTCAACCATTCGTTCTTCTTCCTTTAACTTCACAAACAGTTTTTCTGAAAGACAAATGGAAGTTTCAGTTCAGCTGCAAGAACAGTAGAAAAAGAACAAGAACTGTAAACATGGCATGTTTTTAAGCCATGAACATCGGGTACCTGTCAGTAACTTGACGGAGTCCTTGCAGGCCTCTCTCAGCCCCACCATCTGACAAGGCGTGTCACTGAGGGAGCTTCTGAATTTGCTCCCAAATTCATTTATGCTTTTATCGAACAGGGCCAGTTCGTCCTCTACCATTATGTCGACAATGCTAAAAAACAAAACAAAAAACCAAACATGCAACACATCCTTAGTTGTAAGGAGGAGCTACTGAGTTCAACCATGAATTCCAATCAGGTGTATTTTGGCAGTTTGGGTTCTTGGGGAGAAATAGTTAGCAACGACCCTCTCTAACTCTAGCTATTCGAGGTAAACCAGGTCTCACGGGCTCAACTGTGGTCACGGGCAGCAAGAATCCAGGTCGCTTGGTAGCAGTCTATGACCCGGGAAACGACACGACACCCTCCGCTTTTAATCACTAGTGGTGACTTCTAGAGTGACGGCCAACGCTAGCCAAGCAACCTCTCCCCAGCCTCTTCTGTCCAACTCCGAACCCGAAGGGGGACAGGCCGACCGAGTAGGAGAGTGAGGGCTCCAGCGAGGGCAGGCACCAGTCACCCCTCCAGGAGGGTCAGACACCAGCCCGAGAGGCCGCCATCCACCCCGCCTGGCCGGCGAGCAGCAGCAGGTGCCAGCACGCCCGCGTTCCCCTGGCCCAGCAGCAAGACCCTCACCTCGGGGGGCAGTCCTGAGCCCCGCTGCCCGCTCTCACCGACCCCGCGTCGCCCCAGCCGACAGCCCACCTTTCGCTCAGCTCCCGCGGCAGCGCCAAATCTTTGATTTCAAACACAGCGGGCCTCCATTCACCTGCTTCCGGCCTGCCCTTCGCCTTCTGATTGGCTGGTAGCACAGGCTCCTTATGAAAGGATTGGCGGAAAGTGATTCCAAGATTCTCGCGGGAACAAATGGGAGAAGAGCATTCTGGGATTCGTAGTCCTTTTCCGAGCTACAGTCGCATTCTCAACTAGGACCGCCCCAAGGCAGTCCGTTGTTCGAGTTCACAGAAAGCTTTCTGCACCAACATGGATGCTGAACTATTACTCTGGATGTTTAAATTGTCTCACAAATGCTAAAAAATAGGGATTTCTTTTCTAGATTTTTAAAAGCAATATGTTACATCAGTATGTTTAAATGTGACAATATTACCTGCATAATATTCTGGAATACATTTTTTCCTTAAATCGTATATTTTGCATTTCTAAATTCTACCCATCTAGAGAGTCCCAAGACACAAGAATGTCCGTAGTTTCAAAGATTAGAAGTTGTATGTGTCTTTTCTCCTTCCCATTTACTTCATCTGTTCCCTTCTAGTGGTATAGCAATCTGTTACTTATGAAATTATCTGTCTAGACCATTACCTCCCAGGTACAACCTATCTTTCATTCCAGTACACATAAGAATCCATGTCTTGCACCAATGCTTCTCAAAAGGCAGATTCCTACCCAAAGTGAAGTGCCTCACTCAAAGTGGCATTCCCCACACATCCCGCGCATCTGTGAGGAGACATGGAAACACCCAGGGCCAATGTTGTGGAACAAAGGATAAAGCCTGTGATGCAACAGTCCATAGGGCCACCAGTTCACGTTCCGGCTGCTCCACTTCCAATCCTGCTCCCTGCCAAAGACCTGAGGAAGCAGCAAAGCATGGCCCATGCGTTTGCGTCCCTGTAATCCAGGAAACCAAATGAAGCTGCTGGCTTCGGCCTGACACTACCCTGACTGCTGCAGCCATATGAGGCGCGAACCAATGGGTGGAAGATCTGTGTGTCTTTCTCTGCTTTTATCTCTTTGACTCTGCCTTTCAAAATAAATATATATTGAAAGCAAGAAAATCTCAAGTAGCATGCTATCCCTACTAAATCAAAGATTGTGGAAAAGAGTCCCAATGATATGTGTGTTAACAAGCCCTTAGGATGCACATTAAAGTTTGAGGGATATTGTTTTACACGTAGTAGTTAGCCTGGCATTATTTAGTGTAGCAATGTTGAGTCTCTCGGTGATTTAAGTCAGTTTTTTACCTTTCTAACTAAATACTTAGCACAGGCTGCTTACATAGGAAGGAAGCTCATTTTGTCTCATGGTTTTGGAGATTTGCAGCTTGGCTGCCTGGGGAGGCCAGAGGATAGCAGTGGCAAGTGAAGGAAGGATCACATGGTGAGCCTGTAAACAAAGAAAGCAGCTGGGATCAACTTGCACTGAAAATCAATCCTCTCACAAGAACCACTCCCAAGGGTCAAAAGAACCTTCCACTGTGTCAACTTCCCAAATATCATCACTGGATGCAATTTCCACAATGCTAACACCACCAATCTGTGACTCTAGCGATCAAAGTCCACATGACTTTGGGAGCCACATCCTATTCAAACCATAGCATGATTTTAGAAATATTTATGAATGTCATGTTCACTCACTTGCAGATAAAAGCACACGATAGGACTACTGGAGGGAGTGCCTGGAGGACCTCTTGATGGATCATTTACAATAATGATGTTATGGAATGACAATATCCCTGGGATGCTAGCCAGAATGGAGGCAATTATTTCCTGAACATCATTACTCTAAATTCAGTCTGAAATAAATCCATTTTACATTGCAAGGTGACATTGAAGAGATCACAAATGCAATTTACGCCTTAGAAAGCAGATAAAGTTTGTGCTAAAAGATAGCAGCCATGAAGAGGTATTAAATGTCGATGTCTCCAAAATGCATTTCTTCCACTGCGTAAGTGATGCAAGTTAATGTCAAATATCTCAGAATGATGTTGAATGATAGTGAACACTGTAATTCAGTGATGAATGGTTCATCGGATTACAAGAATATATTTTATTGTCTCTCCTCTAGCTGCCCAAGAAGATGCTGAAAAAGAAGGCCAATGGGAAGAAGCAAGAAGTTAAGGAGGTAAATTCCATGTTTCATATAAGCCCTAATAACATTGTCACTGAACAGGACATTCATCCCAAAGTGGATCTCACTGATTTTGTTAAATGTGCTATCTCCCACTACACGCAGGCACACACACACACACACATACACATTTGGATATAGCAGCAAAGGGTCTCCTGTATAAGCAATGGTTAATGCTTCTGCTATTAATCAGGTCACTGAGGCCTGAGGTAGCATTTACTATAAACAAAAATTCAGGGGAAATTAAATGTATCAGAATGAGAATAGTCTGGAAAGAACTGGGTGTATTCAACTACTAGAACTAACCCAAAATGACAGTCTTAAAGATTTTTGAGACTGGTGATAGTAGTAAAAGAAAAAGCTAGCAAACAAACAAACACTGTTATTAAGAAGAACAAACCATGCTGGGAAAATTAGCATACTGGAAAAATCTCTGAGGCAAATAGGAAAACGAAGGTTTGGGGGATACAGATTTCTGAATAATGGAAGGAATTGCAACGAATTTGATTTGTCTGGGCCAAGGATTCACCACCATTGAGAAGCTAGTTAACACCATGGCCTTCTTCTGAGAAATGTTCACAAGCATGAATATTCGGCACACAGTTTAAGTTCACTGACCCTAAATAAATCAGTTCAGGATATGAGCTACACAGGGACTAAAGACATCTGGCTAAGAGTATGCCTGTAAATTGAGTTGAGTTTGGCCTAAGCCTATCTCTGTCCTTGGATGACTATACTTGGATTGTTTGTGGTTTTTTGTTTTTTGTTTTTAATTTTTATTAGCAAGGCAGAGAGAAGTAGAGACAGAAGAAGGATCTTCTATCTGCTGGTTTAGTCCCCAAATGGTCACAATGGCAGAACTGAACTGATCCAAAGCCATGAGTTTCCTCCTGGTCTCCTATACAGGCGAAGGATCCCAATTATTTGGGCCATCCCACACTACTTTCCAAGGTCACAGGGAAGCGGATAGGAGTGCAGCACCCGGGACATATGGGATGCAGTGCTTGCAATCAAAGGATTAGCTCGATAAGTCATCATGCCAGCCCTTGGTGACTGTACTTGGAAGTACGGTCTTTAAAGAGGGAATAAGTTAAAATAAGGCCACATTGGTGAGCCTAGTCCAACCTAACTGGTGTTTTTATCAGGAACTTTGGAAATAGAAAGGCAGAGGAAGAAACTATGCGAGGACATAGGGAGTGGACAGTCACTTGCCAGCCTTGTTAGTTTCTCCAGAAGAAACAAACTCTGGCCAGCAATATGGCACAATAAGTAAAGCCAATGACTCAATACTGGTTGAGAGCCAGTTCATTTTCTGGGTACTCCAAATCTGATCTAGCTCTTGCTGATAGCCTGGGAAAATCAGTGGAAGATGTCATCCAGGTGTTTTAGTCCCCACATCCACATGCAAAACCTGGATGAAGCTCCTGGCTCCTGCTCTGGCCTGGTCCGGCCCTGGCTGTTGTGATCATCCAGGGAGAGAACCAGCAAACAGAAGATCTGTGTGTGTGTGTGTGTGTGTGTGTGTCTTAAGCTCTATTTGTCTCAGGAAGTTTTTCACATAACTTTTAAGGGAAAGGGGGGAGGATATAAAAGAAGGAAAGAGAGAATAATGGAAGGAAGGAAGGAAGGAAGGAAGGAAGGAAGGAAGGAAGGAAGGCAGGAAGGAAGGAAGGGAGAAGGAAAGAAGGCAATTAAACATAAAACATAAACCATGTCTTCAGATTCATAGTCTCCAGATTGAGAAAACAAATGTTTGTTGTCCCAGCCACCCAGCCTGGTATTTACCATGGTGTTGTGAAACTGAAGCATTTGCCTAAGACACAAAAATGGTTTGAGAGAAAGCATGGTCAGAGGAGAGGTGGGGATATCACTCAGAGGATTGCTGAGGGAGTGCACAAAAATGAACAAAGGGGAAAAAACTAACAATGGACTGGAAAGAATAAACAGATTTGGCAGATCTGAGGCAGAGTGGAGGAAATCCAAGTCTTGTTTTGCTTCAGTTAATTGTCCCAACGCCTTTGGAACTGGAGAACCCTCGGGAGATGTTCTTATAAAATCAAAAACCTGCAAGGAAAAGCTAGTGTGCCCTCAACCTCATCACAGTTCCCAGACTCTAAAGGCCTGAACAAACGTGAAGTTTAATTTTTAATTATAAAGCAGAATGTATTTTAGATTATTTGGTATCATCCACACCCTGGTTTAAGGACAAGACATCTTGAATAAAATGAATATTATGAATTATGTAGTTCAAACACTTCTTAGGAAAAGAACAAAGGGAAGTTATATCTTTCCTCATGTTTCATTAAAAACACTATAGAAATGACAGAACCTTAAATTGCCCAACAAAAAAGCCACATTCATAGGCTGATCAGCAATACAAACTATTGTCTCATGTGAATTGTTTTAGCACCATGATTCTAAGTCCCCATTCTATACCGGAATACCCGAAAGAATATTTTTATAATACCCTGCCCAAGTTCCCTCTCAGGAAATTTAATTGAGCTAAGGTAGGATTAAAGCATGGTACTTAAAACAAAGTTCAAAAGAGGTGCAGTTTAGTTTAGCAGTAGAGACATACACAAAGAGACAGAGACACACAAACACAAAATACACAGGCACAGAGAGAGAGATAGAGAGCGCGAGAGATCCCCCAGCTGCTAATTCACTCCCCAAATACTCACAATAATTGGGGATGTTGAGAGTTGCTGGAAGTGGGAGGCAGGAAGCCAAATACTTGAGTCATCACTTGCTATCTCCCAGTGTCTGTATTAGCAGAAAGCCGGAATTAAGGACAAAGCTAGAATTTGAACAGAAGTACTCTAATATGGGGTGCAGGCATCCCTGTAGATCAAATGTCTGACCAACATCCAAGATTTTGGTCAGCTGATGCATTTCCTCCAAGGGAGGGAACAGAGAACAGGCGGGTACCAATAAATGTGGATCTGTGATCCTGGAGCTGTTACAGCGGGACTCCAAGAGAAGTTGAGAGTGAGATTCATAGCCTGTGAGGAAGGTTTCCAGTGAAGGACACTGTAATTACCAAAGAAACCAATCTGGTAAGGCAATAAGCAAGGTTGCCTAGTCCACTTTTGGCCACCTGGTGGAGCTTAATGTGTGTCACACTGACTCTCCTAGATGTATCTTAACTCTTGACAGCCAGCCTCTCAGAGCCCAGGGTGTTTTTGCGCTGTCCTTCTGTTCTTTCCCAATCCACACAGTTTTCTTTGATGCTTCCCACTTCTACTGAAATACTCCGTTTTCAACGCACTATTTTCCTAATAGACTAAAAGCCCTTTGAAATCTATTCCTATCTTTATCACACAAAGAACAGCCCAAATCCTAGTCACCCTTACTCCTTTGTTTAATAAAAGCCACAACTCTGTCCTAATATATGTCTATGACCCAAATAATCTCCATTTCTGTTGTCTTACCTGATAGATAAAAAGCAGCATTTCCTTCCAAGTTTCATATACATTTCTTTCCCTGTTCTAAGTGTGTATATTCTATCATTCTCCTTGATAACAAAGGAGTGTGAAACTCTTTATTAAAAAGTTTGTGATCAGCACATAATCGGTCAGATGAATTTTATATGTCCAGGTATTTACTCAGCCATTTTCCTCAAAAATCCAATAAAACAATCAGAGTCACAGTCTATCTTAAATTAAAATGCATGGCTTTAAGGGCTATTTGACATGCAATAATTACTTTTGTAGTCTTCTAACCAAGCATAGAAATTGTTAATGTCTGCCCTGGAAGGAAATGAACTGTGTAAAAAGTTTCGAGCAAACACCATCCAACTGTTCACACAAAAGGGAGGTTGCATAAGAAATTCATTGTGCATCTATCCAAATTTCCCCTCAAGTTGACACAGATCAGCATGTGCTTCACCTCTCTGCCACCAATTTAAATCATAAACAGACGAGCTTTCCAACTGAGGGCCGACGTGCCCTCTCCACAGATGATCAGCATCACATGTTGCAGTAATGATTTGGCACGCCACAAGGGTACTATATAAAAACGGGAGAGCCGGAACCCTGCAGCTCCCATTGCTCTGTGGTTAGAACTCTTTTTCAAGATGGATTTCCTTCATAGGAACGGAGTGCTTATTATTCAGCATTTGCAGAAGGACTATCGAGCTTACTACGATTTTCTAAATTTTATGTCCAATGTTGGAGACCCCCGGAATATATTCACTATTTATTTTCCACTTTGGTTCCAACTTAATCAGACAGTTGGAACCAAGATGATATGGGTAGCGGTCATTGGGGATTGGTTCAATCTTATATTTAAATGGTAAGACTTCTGTTTCATTTTTCCTAAAACTTATTCTTACATTTGTAGCTTTGGTTTAATGGGCAAATTTCAGGTGTATGTATTTTTATTTGGAAAGTCTTTCAAGCATACCAGTTAACTTGAAACATCGGATTCGTAAATAGAGCTTATAAAAAGCTTAGAAATGTATACTTTAACTGACTTATGCCTTCCAAAACCCTGTAACATACATTCTGCAAGTAATCAAGAAGCTAATGAAGTGAGGGACACAATAATGAATACATTGGTGATTTCTAGGGACCACTCTTCACTTCTCAGGCTAACCATCCAAAGCACCCACAGGGTTTACAATGAGGAAAAAGTCAAAGCTAAAAATCAAAACAACTCTCTCGAGTGGGAAACTAGAAACCAAGATCTCTCAATATTTTATCATTTTATATTTATATTGCTATTTAAAATAATTTTATTATTTTGGTTAACATCTAATGCTTGCACATTTTATGGGTTGCAGCGTAATAACCATGAGCTTTACTCATAGACTTGGTGCTTGAGTCATTTTTATAGAACAAAATAGCTAGTCTCCAATGAAGTGTATTTAAAAATGTAATGTACATTTTTATTTCTTTAAATACAGGATATTATTTGGTCATCGGCCTTACTGGTGGGTGCAAGAAACTCAGATTTACCCAAATCACTCAAGTCCATGCCTTGAACAGTTCCCCACTACCTGTGAAACGGGTCCAGGTAAGCAGTGACAGTAGCTTCCAGTTACAGCTATGCCGATAGAGATCTATTCTATGTATTATGCGATATCCAATGCGATGTATTAAATGTGGGTGAGCATGCACAAGTTCATAGGCATCCAAGTTGCTAATGAGAATGAGTTTTATGTCAATTAAATTCCAGGGCTAGTTGTAAAGGGTAGGTTGGGAGAATATTCCTCCGAATGATTTATATTTGGAGATTTGCATTTTGGAAGTCTCATTGTTACTAAACAAAGGACAGCTACCTAGAGCAACTTCCCAAGGAACTCTGCTAAGATCTCAGCCTTGTGGATTCAGCCGCTGAGGGACTTTCAGTTACTTGAGGTCTTCTGAGACTCTCCTAAGTGAGAAAACAACAGACAAGTTTTGTGTAAGAAAGGTAGGAAATTGCTGATCTTACTAGTGCCAGTGAGGATAAACTCTAACTTCAGTATACCTTCTTGAAACTTTTTTTCCTTTTGTGTGCTTAGTATATAAGTAAGCTTTTTAGAACACTTCATTTTTATTTTAAGTAAAATTCTAAATCTTTATCACAGAAGTTTAGTTTAAGAATGGAAGAGGGCTTTTTTAAAAAATATGCATAGAAAAGAAAATGACATGCTATATTAATTTTGTTGCTTTTTACATTACATAACATTCTTGCCACTTGGTAATCTTTGAAACTCACCCTGAATATAGAGAATGTAGAAGTTCCAAATGAATTTTCTGAATGTCTTTCATTCCCTTTGTTGCATACATGTCTGTTATATCACGTATCATATGTTACTCTAATTCTTTGTATATCTGACAGCCTAGAGAGCATTTCATCAGGGCAAGGGTGGTGTGCAATTGTTCTGTGTGAAAACAATGTGTGATGAATGCATGAACAGTAACCTTTGAGACAACTAAAATTCTATTTTTGTCCTTCCTAGTACTTCCCAGCAAGTGTTCCTTCTTATGAGCCAGTGTCTAAAACAAACAGAAATATTACAATCCATATTCACACATTAGAGATACATAATTCATTTAAACTTAGAAAAAGTGAAAAATCCTGCATAATAGAAGTAGTTTGCCTTTGTTAAATAAAAAAAGGAATTTCTTTTTCCACCTCCAAGGGAGACTGGTAATTAACCTGAATGAATGCTCACAGGAGCAAGGCTACCTGTCTGCAGGCTTTTGAGATCCGCTGAATGCCCCATTCCCAGCTCATCCCCCTGCTTTTTTCCATAACAGTCTCACCTCAGCAGCCAGGAAACAGGCATGGAGATAGCCCCTCATCCATACCATCATCTGAAGGTCCATCAGTAAACCACAGACAAAGCAAGTGCAGCCTTTAGAGTTTGACTTTCCAGCCCAGGAAAGATACACTGATTCGTAATCTACTACTTTCCAATTAAATACAGCTAGACATGAAGAATGAGTAGGGCTGACACAGATTTAGTGGAACAGCCCAACATTTTCTTTACCTTGAGTATACTGATTTCTGGAATCCAATGAGATTGGAAATGATGCTTTTGAGGACCAGTTCAATTTCTTTTTTCTACCTAGTTCTAAACATCATGTTTAGCCTTTGCCATGTATGCCTTTTTAACTCTGAATTGTTTGTAAATCTCATGGTGACTCTTCTGTTCATTGATCTCTGATTTTCATACCAAATTAATCACCTTTTAAATGTTGCTGCAGGAAGTCCATCTGGTCATGCAATGGGATCATCATGTGTCTGGTATGTCATGGTAACAGCTGCCCTGAGCCATACCGTCAGTCGGATGGATAAGTTCTCTGTCACTCTGCACAGGTTAGCATGGCTCCAGTGTCACTGTAGTGTATTATAAGCTAGTCAATGTACCATGGTTATTTTATCTACCAAAGCTAAAATAGCAAAATTAATAGAAAATGGATGTCTTGGTTTAAGTTAGTTAGCTCACAGCTATGGTCATTTTAAAGGATTGGAATTGTTTAATTCACTAATACTTGCTAAATGTGCCTTTGTATTTCCAAAATACAATCATTAGTCATAAGTAAGTAATCTAAACTCATATACAGAAATATTTTTGCATGCATAGCTTCTTATTTTAAGATTAAGTTAAGTTTTGGAAATCAGCCTTTCTTTTGAATGCATCACTTTATTTAATCAACTTATGCTTCTTTCCTTGCCAATACTTTGACATCGGGAATATAGTCTAACTTTAAAGAATATAAAAACATTTTCATTAAAAACATTTTTCAAGCAACTTAAGTTTGAATGTTAGTAGAGTTTCCATTAGTTAATTTCTTAATGTTTATAGATCTCAGAACTTTAAGAAAATTAAAATTCTAAAAGGAACTTCATAATTTAGTAGGAATTAGAATATTTTTTCATTTCTTTTTTTTTTTTTTTTAAAGATTTATTTTTATTATTTTTTCATTGGAAAGGCGGATATACAGAGAGGAGAGACAGAGAGGAAGATCTTCCGTCCGATGATTCACTCCCCAAGTGAGCGCAACGGGCCGATACTATGCCAATCCGAAGCCAGGAGCCTCTTCTGGGTCTCCCACGCGGGTGCAGGTTCCCAAAGCTTTGGGCTGTCCTCGACTGCTTTCCCAGGCCACAGGCAGGGAGCTGGAAGGGAAGCGGGGCTGCCGGGATTAGAACCGGCGCCCATATGGGATCCCGGGCGTGCAAGGCGAGGACCTTTAACCACTTGCGCCACCGCGCCGGGCCCATATTTTTTCATTTCTTGAAATCCTCTTACCATCATTAAAATAAGCCCAAGCACAACTGCAGTCACAAATTGCTAGGGTATCTGACAGATTTGTCAGTTAAACTTTCCAAAGAAATACATGCTATCCCATACACTATTATCTAAAAATTCTCAAAAAAAATTTAAAATACATGACATATTATATTCTTTAGAGTAGCATTGGATACTGTCAGAAACAAATAGCCAAAGAATGTGGGCAATTTTAAAGGTTATTCTAATTAGACCTCTACGCTTTAGTATACTTATTATCTAGCTTTATCCACCAACAAAAATAGATGTTGTTATTTAAAGAAATTAGCATTTTCTCTCCTTAGATAGTCTTCCAAGTAGGAATCCAGAAAAACCTAAATTTCTTCTGTGGTTCATTATTTCCTCCAACTACCAAGTCTGGAAAAATATGCGTTTCTTCCAAAAAATTATTTTTAATTTTTATAACTATAATATTGGATATCTATGAAAAATTTGATGCCTTTCTCTTCACCGTGACATCATCAAATACCTGTTTATTTATCTTCCTGTTTCTACTTGTTAGTCCTTACATAACCAAATTTTTATCTGATTACTAGGAACAAAGCATTAAAGAATTCCTGGAACTCATTATTGTTAATTTTCTTCCAAAAACAAGTATTGCTCAGATTTTAAGAGTCTTTTTCTTCTGAATGTTACTTTTCTTAAGGTTTTTTTGTGCACGTGGTTAGCTCTAATCAAAAGTATATATCCCATGAGTCTTTGTTCCTTGTTTCTATATATTGAAAAATAAGGAAATCAAAATTCTTGAGAGGTTGGAAATGAAGCTGAATGAGAACGTGCCTCTTGTGGAATATTTCATGTAAGTGGCAGCTGATCTGATGTGTGAAAGTTTGATGGGAGAGGACAAAAGAGAGATGACACATATAATAAGGAATAAAACGTGTGGTTCATTTTGGATCATGCCTGGTATATTCCTCCAAAGTTGAACTCCCCTAGTCTACTAAGACAGTTTCCTTATTTCAAGGATGTCAGATTGGCTGTTTTGTCTCATTTTGCTTTGCTTGGCGTTTTTGTTGTTGTTGTTGTTGTTTTTGCATTTATTAAAGCCTTGGGATATAGCATTGGTCAAGTTTACTGTATTGAGAAATCTTTCTTAAAGCGTTTTAAATCCATCAACACAAAAGGAAATATTTCGAAAAAGATTCTAGAATTGTGATGCTATCTCAACTGTGAGGCAATTCCTCTGAGATGGGCCATCTGGTAATCCCCCATATGTATAAGCAATATAATTTCTTGATTTTTATACTTACCTATTCTTCTATTATAGACTGACCTGGTCATTTCTTTGGAGTCTTTTCTGGTTGATTCAAATCAGTGTCTGCATCTCCAGAGTATTCATAGCAACACATTTTCCTCATCAAGTTATTCTTGGAGTAATTGGTGGTAAATATGCTCACTTCTTATGGTTGCCTCATTTGAACGCTTTAATTTCATTTATATTATGGCACCAGTTTCTCCCTTGTAATAAGTTTTCCAATGTCGGGGTGATTCTGTCAAGACACTGATACTAAATTCTATCTTGAGGGTTTCAGTAGTTCAACATAACTCTCATGGATTCCATATACACAAAGCCTTAGTCTCCCTTAATGTATAAACACCTAATTGTAGCAAGATGGGGTTTTCTAGAATGTGGCTGTAACTTCAACTCCCAAACCATCCCTTCAAGTAGCGTGCAGGTGTCCAAGTTTGGAAGACTTAATAAGAACCTTCAAACTTTCAACCAAGCCACTCTTTCTGCAACATCTGAAGTGAACAATTAAAAGGCAGCTGCTTTGTAATTCCAAAGTGCTATTCACCACACTGGAGTGTCAACTACTCGGTCCCGCATACTTTTCCATGGCTTTCTAAGTTAACTGGCTCAGGCAATTGAAATATTAATTGCAAGCACCTCGATCAGCACCCTGACTATGATGTGGGCAGTTTACTCAGCACCACTGACCCCCTGGCTCACCCTGCTGGGCCACTACGAAAAGTGAAAGGCCTCGAGGCAAATATGTGCTTGTCCCCATTGTCTTAAAACTTAGAATAAGGCAGTTAGAACTTGGTAAATAGACCTGTGATAAAGCCCCTTGTCTTGAACAGTATGGCTGAGTGCTGAGGTCTGTATCTCTTTGAAACCTCCAGGCATGCTGGTGGCAGAGGCCTTTGAACACACTCCAGGCATCCAGACGGCCAGCCTGAGCACCTACCTGAAGACCAATCTCTTTCTCTTCCTGTTCGCACTCGGCTTTTACCTGCTTCTCAGACTGCTCGACATTGACTTGCTCTGGTCCGTTCCCATAGCCAAAAAGTGGTGCGCCAACCCCGACTGGATCCACATCGACACCACACCTTTTGCTGGCCTTGTACGGAACCTCGGGATCCTCTTTGGCTTGGGCTTTGCCATCAACTCAGAGATGTTCCAGCTCAGCTGCCGTGGGGAGAACGGCTACAAGCTGAGCTTCCGGGTGCTCTGTGCCATAACCTCGCTGACCACGCTGCAACTCTTCCACCTCGTCAAGATCCCCACTCACACCGAACACCTGTTCTACGTGCTGTCCTTCTGTAAAAGTGCATCCATCCCCCTGACGGTGGTAGCTCTGATTCCCTACTGCATTCACATGCTCATGAAGCCGAATGAGAAGAAGACTAACTAGGGCACAGGCCCAGATCCCCCTGGCTGCCTCCTCTCCACCGGCAGAACCCAGTCCCCCAGCTGCCGGCTCCTCCCCAGACGGTGCAAGATGGTGGCCACCGCCTCGTCTCGCTCACTCATAGATTTAGTGTGGTGTTCACCGCCGCTTTTGGTTTTTGTATGTTTCTGTTTTAGTTGACAACATTTCAAAGCAAATTGGACTATTGGACACACAACACTGATTTTGTGTACGTTTTTAAAAAATCTGGCCATATGGCCACCCAGGGCCTGCCCCTCTTCCATGAATTGAGTCTTCACTAGAGGAGACACACAGACTGTCTATTTCATGCTTTCCTCATCTTAACAGAAGTCCTCGTGTGGGACACTCATCAGCTTTAGGCCGGGCTGCTTCTGGTCCCTTTCAGCATTTTATTAGGGGATCCCCAGGTGAATAGGATGCCTTGAGTTTTCAAAGATAAGGAAATAGAGGTTCATGCAGGACAAGGCAGTACCTGTAGCTATACCACCATTAGAACAGGGTGTTGAACCCAAGTCTTCTAATACTTTTCTATTAGATACATTTCTATTAGAATGGATGTTGGTTTTGTTTTTCAGTAGTTAAAAAAAAAAAATCAGTAAGAGTGAATGCCCTTTTGTTTAGATTCTATATGATTGCCATATTACACAGCTAGTTTTACAGAAATGGCATTATTTTCTTTTCCAGAAATGATGCTTTACTGGTTTGACTTGCACCTGCATGCGGGGTCTCACCAGGCCCTCAGTGGCTCTAAATATGAACATACAAGCACATCCATGGGAAATGAACTGGTTTAACTACTGTCTGGACTTGAACTTATGGTGTCTGTTGTACTATTTAGCAGTGCTTTTCAATACTTCAATAAATTCTGCTTAAGGTACTCTGCTAGAATACACATATTAAAAAAATTATCTCTTATTTACATAACAAAGATTTATCTTATCACTTTGATATTCTCGTGCTTTGTTTTTAGGAACCAGTCTTCTAAAACCAGGGAAATCAAGTGCTTTTCTCAAAGTGATGCTCCAACTCTGGACTACGTTAAATGTCTGTATCCATTTGCCGGATTTATCTTTGTGTATTATGCACTGTGATGAAAATCCACAGCTTTACTTTAGAAAATTACTATGAACAGACCATAAATATTATACTAACAGTTTTTCTCAGCAAAGGGTGCTCCCCACCACCCTCACTTCATTGTATCCAATAATTCTGGACTTTGGTCTGACAACTCATTTCAATCAAGGACAAGAATCATGAGTCTGATTTTTTACATGTTATTGTCTTCTATAAACTTTCTCAAGAATATAAAATACAGGAATACTTTTATGTAAGGACATGTTAAATAACCCATTAATGTTTATGAAGACCTAACAATCCAAGGGAGTGCTATTTGACATGATACTAATTGGAGCTACAAAACCTCTAAAAATCTAAAAAAAATAGTTAAATATGCTTGGCTCCTTTCCAGGTGTCTTTCTACAATACATTCAGTTTCTTTTACAAAACACATTGTCAGTTTTCTTTCTTCTTTTTATTTTTTTTTTAAAGTAACTGATTCTGAAGCACAAAATTGAGGGATAAGGAAAGATTACCTTAAGAATAAAATGTGTCATGTTGATGGGACATTAGAGGTGAAAGTAGAGAAAAGTGATTGTCAGGGTTGTGGTCTTTGTTCATTGGTTCACACTCCCTTTTCTTTTTGCCTCAGTCTTGGCACTTTATGATGTCTTTACCTCATAACATCTCCTTCTGCACATATCAGAGAGGGGACTCCTCTCCCCAAGCTCTTTGTCCAAGTTCCACACAAGGTTAGTAATGCTGTCTGGAACCTTCCATCATAGCACAGCACTCTGCTCCTACTGAGACCGGAGGATATTGGGGCATTAACAGCCAGGGGTCTCTGCTCTAAGGCTTCACTCTTCCACAAAGTTCTGCTTTTTCACAGAGATGCTTGCTTCAGCTTTCCTGAAGCACTGTCAGCTGGGGTCATGGGGCCCTTTGAGGGGGCACAGGATGAGAAGTGGGTTCACTTTTCACAAGTAATTCCCAACAACTCTACTGTTCTCAACAGTAAAACCTCAACACCCTCTTGTGCCATTCCTCTTTGATTCTAGTAGGAGTCTCCTGGAGAGAGCCATCTGGTAGCCAATCGCTTTTGCAATCGAAGCTGCTTAGGCAGAAAGGGGAACAGCTCCCTATGGTCTTAGAAAAAATTCCTGCCTTTAAAAATGACAGAAAAGTATTTTTTGCCTCCAATTTATTTGTTGGAAGTAAGCTGAATCAGTCCCCTTTGACTTATTATTTATTATATCCATATATTCCAAATGTCTATGCAGCTACCTAGTCAGGAGAAAAATGTCAGTAAGGTGAGCATTCAGGATGAGAACGACAAGGCAAGTGACTTGAGAAACTGTCCAAACATACATTTGAAAAGAAATGCAAATAAATTTATTACTGCTGAAACTAACAACCAGGGAGACTGCTGAGTCTTTCTTTGACAACCTGCTAATTGGACATCTGCTATAGAAGGTTAAATTGCTGCCTCTTCCCATTCTATTTCATTGAAACAGAAGAGCAATTTGAGAAATGTTTTAAGGTGTCCTTCAAGTTAAAAGTTATATCCCTAAATACTTATTTATACATTCAAAATCTGCAAATAGACTTGAGGTCAAATTTGTATGCACATACATATACAAAAAAAAAGTCTTTGTATAAAAGAGTTGGTTTAAAAAGAATGGTTCATTTCTTCCATACATTGAATTTATATGTTGTAACACTCTTCAACTGATTTTTTTTACAATGACCCTTGTGACCATTTGGCAGATGAATCAATGGGTCAGAACTGGGCTAGGATGAAGCTAAATGCCCGAAATTCAACCTGGGTTACCCATGAGGGTGGCGGGAACCCAACTGCTTGGACCATTACCTGCTATATATCAAGAGGAAGATAGACTCAGAACTCGAACCCAAACACTGTGAGATGAGATGCACGTAACCCACCTGGCACCTAAACTATCAGAAAAACATCTGCCCCATGGCAATGTTTCATGTCTGCTATAATATAGCAGCAACTAACCAAATGTGGCTGCTGAGCTCCTGAAATGCAACTAATGCTACCAAGGGACTGCATCTCAAAACTTCACTGACTTTTAACAATAAATTTCAGTCATATATGTCTGGTCCCTACAGGTAGGCAGTGTAAGGCAAGTCCTACAATGCTTCTTTTGATTTAGAAAACAAAAAGCTATTTTTTTACTGGCACCTATATCATTACATTCCTGCAAAACAACATGGAATATGGTGAATTGCTCAAAGTTAACCATAGTATCTGCTGCAGCTATGGGATTCTCTCTTTGCAAATAATTTCTCTCTTACTGTATAGACTGTGAATTCTGTCTTGGTCTCCTTTGGTTTTCAGTTCTGTTGCTTTAGATCAAGGAGTCTACATTTTCCTTTTCTGCATTAGGTGCAAGAAATTCAAGGATCACAAAACTGGGCAACATTTTGCCCCAGATTCATGACCACACTTTGGGGCACTGAATGACTTTGACCAAACTTTTCTACTTTTCTGAGTCCAACATACCCACAGGCCTGCACCAGTACTTCTTTAAATATTAGAAAGTGTTCAAAGAGTGCCTCTAGTGTTCAAGTGCCACTGAGCACTCTACAAACTATAAAGGATTCTATGGATAAACACCTAGACCTCCCAGTTGCGATGAAATTATGATGGTGTTTCTAGCCTTTTCTCCTCCACTTACTTTTAGTACTTTCAGATGATGATTCCATATTGTAGCTGTGGTGCAGCCTTACTGATTTTTAATCCTAATTTTAGGGCCAACGCAATGGTGGGGCAAACTAATACAGTGCCTGTGATGCCAAAATCCCATATGGGTTTTGTTCCATGTTCCACCTGCTCCACTTCCAATCTAGTTCCCTGCTTGTGGCCTGGGAAAATAGCAGAGGATGGCCCCAAATCTTGTGACTCTGCACCTGCTCCTGTCATTGGGATCATCTGGGGACTGCAGCAGTGAAGGGAAGACCTCTCTCCTTTTCTCCTATAAAACCTGCCTTTCAAATAAAAACAAATACTTTTTTTAGAAAATAAAGTCTTAATTTTATTTTCCTTTTTAAAAAAATCTAGACAGTAGAAAAGGTCCATTGGAGCGCCCAGCGCGATGGCGCAGGTGGTTAAGGTCCTTGCCTTGCACGCCCGGGATCCCATATGGGTGCCGGTTCTAGTCCCGGCAGCCCCACTTCCCATCCAGCTCCCTGCTTGTGGCCCGGGAAAGCAGTCCAGGAGGGCCCAAAGCTTTGGGACCCTGCACCCGCGTGGGAGACCCGGAAGAGGCATAATATCAGCCGTTGTGCTCACTTGGGGAGTGAATCATCGGACTGAAGATCTTCCTCTCTGTCTCTCCTCTCTGTATATCCACCTTTCCAATAAAAATAAAATAAATCTTTTTTTAAAATAACTGAAAAGGTCCATTGGAAACAAGCAAAAGTAAAAATAACAGCAAAGTAAAAAAAAGAAGCAGCAAGCACAGAAACTTCTGCCACATGACAGCAACTCATGGGAAAATTCTAAGACTCAAAAGTGCTTCATTTTCAGCTCTCCAAAGGACAAATGCGGTTTTCTGTCAAATCTTGACTGGTTTGGTGTGGAGTACTAATTACTGTCTTTGCTAGCCTTTGGTGAAGATCAAAACAATGACTAAAAAAAAAAAATCACATCTCATTTCTTTTGACAGCACAGAAGTGATAACTCTAAAGAAGAGAGAAAATTCAAAGATTGAGGTTGCAAAGGTTAGTGTAAAACCAATTAATTGTCTTTTATACTGAATTTTAAATTTTCTTAGAATCTTTTTTTTCCCCCCAATTCTTTGCTCTGGGGTCTCTGAAAGGAATCTGTCTTTAGTTGAAAATCTGTGACATTTCCCCAAACAATCATATGAGGATACTTTAAAAAGTTCATGGAAAAAATAGA